AGGCGCGAGGATCACGAGGTCAGGAGTTCGAGACCAGCCTAGCCAACGTGGTAGAACGCTGTCTCTACTAAAAGTACCAAAATTAGCCAGACTTGTTGGTGCACGCGCCTATAGTCCCAGCTACTTGGGAGGCTGAGGCAGGAAAATCGCTGGAACCAGAGAGGCAGAAGTTGAAGTGAGCTGAGATTGTACCACTGCACTCCAGCCTGGGCGACAACAGAGCGAGAATCTGTCAAAAGAAAGAGAGAAAGAGAGAGAGAGAGAAAGAAAGGCAAGAAAAAAAAGGAAAGAAAAGAAACGAGGGAGGGAGGGAATAGCCCACATTCCCACCCAAATCTTTTATAGCTAAAATCCTGTTTCCATTTTTCCTGGAGATGGTGAGTTGTTTCCAGAAATGGAGTGACTGGCCCCCAGTGAAAACCAAAAATCCTGCGTCATATGTTTTTTGAAATATCTTTCGATGCACAGCAATACAGCGAGTAAGACACAGAAGGGCCCTGGGTAGCAAGACCATCCCCAGTCTGGTCCAGCTCACACCACAGCACGGGTGCCCTCCCAACCGAGCCCAGATTGAGGGGCAATGTCAAGGGCTTCACAACTTTCATTGCCCATGATTCTCCTCCAGGAATCTGCTGCCGTCACGCTGCAGCCTCTCCTTCCAAGTGCCACACTTTGCCCCCATGTTCCTCTCCCTGGGGCCTGCTCTTTCCCCCTTCTTTCTCCGCTCAGACTCAATGTAGGTGCTCCCTCCACTCAGAGCTGGGAGCCATACCTTGCTCCAGCCCCAGCACCTCTTCCTGTCTGTACCACACACACCTGCCCCATCCACACTGCCCACTGGGGCTTGAAACCATGCCTGGCCCAGCTCCCTAGTTGAGCTGTGTGTCCCAGGAGGACAGGCCCATCGGCATTGGGTGCCATGCCTCCTGCAGCAAGCCCAGTCCTTTGCTGTTAATGTTTAACAAGAATATTGGTGGGGTCTGGTCACGGTGGCTCACGCCTGTAATCCCAGCACTTTGGGAGGCCGAGGTGGGCAGATCACTTGAGGCCAGGAATTTGAGATCAGCATGGCCAACATGGTGAAACTCTTGTCTCTACTAAAAATACAAAAATTAGCCGGGCCTGGTGGCAGGTCCCTGTCATCCCAGCTACATGGAAGGCTAAGGCAGGAGAATTGCTTAAACCCAGAAGGTGGAGGTTGCAGTGAGCCAAGATTGCACCACTGCACTCCAGCCTGGGCAACAGAGCAACGCTCTGTCTCAAAAAGAAAAAGTTTTAAAAAAAAAAAGAACAGGTGACTTCAGCCCTAGCAGACTCTTCCCCTGCAGGAATGTTGGACGCCTCTCAAAAAAAAAGAATATTAGTAGACTTAGTGCAGCCATCTTCTTTCTGCTGGAAGGCTGGTCTTTTTTTTTTTTTTTTTTTTTTTTGAGATGGAGACTCGCTCTGTTGCCAGGCTGGAGAGCAGTGGTGCAATCTCAGCTCACTACAACCTCTGACTCCCCAGTTCAAGTGATTCTCCTCAGCCTCCTGAGTAGCTGGGATTACAGGCACACAGCACCACTCCCAGTTAATTTTTGTATTTTTGGTAGAGGCGGGGTTTCACCATGTTGGCCACGAGGTCTTGAACTTCTGACCTCGTGATCCACCCACCTCAGCCTCCCAAAGTGCTGAGATTACAGACATGAGCCACCGCACCCAGCCTCACAGGTGGTTTTGCTGGTACTTTGCACACACCTACTCTGTGCTCCAAAAGGTGCTCAGACCCCAGCTACCTGACTTGGAAGAGCTGTCTCGTAGAGGCATCTGCAAATGTTGGGCCCTGACACCAGGTCAGTGCCTCCCTTTTGGAGGTCAGAGCCAGGCAGACCTCCCTATGACCTCAGGGGACCTATGGGCTACCCATGCACGAGGGCCCCTTCCACTGTGGGAACTGAGACTCTGGGGGAATGACCAGACTTTTGGAGGTGCTTGAGGTCAGAGGTTACACGGAGTGTGGAAGTCAGAAGGCATCACCCAGGTCTGTGGAATTCCATGGCCTCCCTGCCACATGCCAGGCACCACACCAGGCCGAGGCCAGCCCTGGGCATGAAAGTGTGAGTGAGCTGGGCGCAGTGGCTTATACCTGTAATCCCAGCACTTTGGGAAGCTGAGGCAGACGGATCGCCTGAGGTTGGGAGTTTGAGACCAGACTGACCAACATGGAGAAACCCTGTCTCTACTAAAAATACAAAATTAGCTGCTCATGGTGGTGCATGCCTGTAATCCCATCTACCCAGGAGGCTGAGGCAGGAGAATTGCTTGAACCCGGGAGGCGGAGGTTGCAGTGAGCCAAGATCGCGACACTCCAGCCGGGGCAACAAGAGTGAAACTCCCATCTCAAAAAAAAAAAAAAAAAAAAAAAAAAAAAAAAATGTGAGAGGCAGCCTGGCCCCAGAAAGCCTCCAGTTGACAGGTGATGCTGACCACTAACCTTAGCCTAACCCCTAGTCCTGTGGTTTCAGCACCAGCAGGCTGGGAAGGTGTGCACAGGGCATTTGAGAGATGCTGCCTGCCTGCAGCTTCGAAGGGAGGAGGAGCCGGCGGGGAGGGTAGGCCTCCCGAGGAAGGCAAAATAATTTCCTCCTGGCAAGCAGGAAAACAGGTGTAGGGGGAGGGAAGGTAGCTTGCATGGCAGGGCTGGGTCAAACCAGGCCCCATAAACCAGGTAAGGCGCTTGGGCTTATCCCAAGGGAGAGGCTGGGGATACTGTGGTCAGATTAGCTCAGAGGACGGTCAGGGGAGCAGGGCAGGACAGAGACGGGAGGTGGCAGTCGTGATGGCAGCTGGAACGGTCCGCTCTGTGGGGGCCGTCCCACTGATCAGGCCTGCCTTCCCACCACCCTGGTTCTAGCTCTGCCACCCCCAGCAACTGTGTCTCCTGGGGAAGGGCAGAAGTCTCTGCAGGGGCTACAGGGGCACCAGGGAGAAGGCCAGGGTCCACTGGCCACAGCACAGCCCCCTCGCCTTCTGGCTGTGGTGAGAGGCCTGCAGCCTCTAGGAGCAGCTGCCAGGGCCCGGTTCCTGCTCCACAACTCACCTTGGCCAAGCACTTCATCGTCCTGATCCTGTTTGCTCATCTGTGTTCTGCCCGTAGTTGTGAGGATTTTTTTTTTTTTTTTTGAGACAGAGTCTTGCTCTTATTGCCCAGGCTGGAGTGCAATGACACAATCTCAGCTCACTGCAACCTCCACCTCCCGGGTCCAAGTGATTTTCCTGCCTCAGACTTCTGCCAATTTTTGTATTTTTAGTAGAGACAGGGTTTCACCACGTTGGCCAGGCTGGTCTCGAACTCCTGATCTGAGGTGATCTGCCCACCTCGGCCTCCCAAAGTGCTGGAATTATTGGCGTGAGCCACCTCGCCTGGCTGGTTGTGAAGATTAACTGAAATCATGAAAATGTAGCACAGTCAGTACTCAAAGATCAGTAGCTTTACTATAACTAAATCTGTCCAAAGCCCCGATTTCTTCTTCAGTGCCCACCCTGCCTAGGCCCCCATAATTCTATTTCTGCCAGCCTGGAGCACCAGCAGCTGTACCAGCCAAGTGAGGCTATCTGGGTGGGGGGGATGATGACGCAGGGCTCCTCCATGCCAGCTCCGGCTTGGACTATAAAACGCGTTCTAATCACTGGTCTTACCTCCACGCGTAGCACTTAGCAGAAGTGCTTGGGCACGGCGATTACGCTGCTATGGATCACTACATTAAACCGTTCAGCCCACGCCTCCTCGTTTTGTTATTTACAAGCTTCAGAACAGAGAGCAGAGCCATTTCAGACCCTGGACTTCGGCAGACCCCCGCTCACCTTCCTAAGGAGGTATCCAAGGTCCTTCTCCCACGGCACCTGCTGTCTCTGCCACCGTGGACCTAATGGCCGGGTTCATCTGCTCCTTTCATTCTGCACACAACCACAAGAGCCATCCTGCCAGAACACACATATCACACCCCCTCTGCCTGGGTGGCTCCTGTGGTCCTCAGGTTCAGCAAATGCAGCCTTCAAACGGCCTGCCTTCTAGCCTGGCATGGTCCCCAGGGTTATCCGTGCACTCTCCAACAGGAGTCTCCTTCTCTCCCTGAGGGTCACTCATCCTCCAGGACTCCCCACTGCTCCCCGTGTTCCAGCAGGTGCCATGCGGCCCTGGCTCAGGGCAGCCTTCTTCATGCCCCACACAGCCAGCCTGTTTACACAGCGTCCACATGTGCCCACAGCATCTAACACGCACAGTGCCGCCTGCAGGACGACAGTCCCCTTCTCCTGTCTCAAGAGCTTCGGGCTCAGACACTCTCTTCTGGGGATGCCTCCCTCCCCACCTTCCCTACTCAGCCTGTGTCTTCTCAGAAGAGCACAGTGAGCTGCGCGGAGCCTGCAGCCACAAGCTGGATGTCTGCCCTGCCACAGGGGCTGGTGGGTCATGGAATCACCCCCAACTTTCTGAGGGCAGGTGAGGGGAAAGAAGGTTGATGGGGGCTGATAGGAGCGGTTTGGGGGATGGGGAGCACCAGAGATGGAAGGCTGGCAGGCTGAGGGCTGGGGAGCATCTGCGTTTGCACGGTTTCCTGAAGGCCAGGCCACACTCACACACACGCTCAATGCCTGCACCCACACCCTCTCAACCACATGTCCAGCCCCCACTCTGGCTCCCCTGAGCCATCTGCAGGCACAGGAGACTCCAGGGCCGGCTTCCCCAGCAGGTCTGCCCACCAAGCCTGGCTCTCTGGGAACTGCCGCCCATTCCAACCGCAGAGTCAAGTCCCATGACCCATGGTCCGGCTCAGGGGAGCTCCCACTGCCAACACAGGCTCTGGGAAGGTGAGTGGAGGCTTTGTCACAGCCTCTGAGCCTCAGGAGCCCATCCATGAAGCGGAGAGCTGGAGGCACAGAGGTCCAGTCCACGGGCCACCTGCACCCCAGGGGGCCAGTCCTGCGTTTACACAAGTGACTTGGACACTCTCCTCCCACACATCTCTGGAGGCTTATCCTGTCTGGCCTTCCATGGCCTCAGCAGGATCAAACCAGACGTCTGCGATGCTCGGCATGCCCTCCTTGCCCTCATCCTCCCAGCTAGCAGCCCAGGAAGGAAGCACTCTTGGTGACATGCAGAAGGGAAAGAGACCCTCCCTCAAGGTCCCAGAGCCCACCCTAAACAGGGCCTTTCAGGGGAGGGGGTGAGAAGGTTCACCACCCTGAGGAGCCGGGTCAGAGCCCTGAAACCCAGTGTTCCCTGCTCCCTCACTCCCCGATTCATAACTCAAGGCCCGAAGCCCAGAAGGGAACTGGACCCCAGCTCCTCTGGCAGCAGCCCCTGAGGGCCAGAGGACAGCTTCCCAGCCGACTTGAGGACCTGTGACCTCAGGGGATGCAGGGAAACACCGAGTGTCACTTCCAGCTGCACCTGCCCTCTGCCACTGCCCAGCAGTCCCAGGACCCAGGTCCCCTCCTTCCTGGCGGAGCAGCAGGTCCAGCACAGCTGGCCCCTTCCTTGGCGGCTGTGCACAGGGTGCTGGCTGAGCCCTCGCCCCATAGTTGGCAAGTCTAGAACCACCGGATCCCATTACCTCACCAGTGTGAGTTCTACCATTGCCAAAAATGGGGGGAGGCAAGCGGCCATGGGGCCAGGGAGCTGGGGAGACTTCGGCCTATGCTAGCTAAGGGAGAGACAGAAATAGTCAGGATGGTCCAGGCAGGGTCAGGGCGGAGGCGCCCATCCTCATAGCTGCGACAAGGTCTGGTGCATGGTCCTTCCTGCAGGGTCGTCCTGATGTGGAGGCCCAAACCCACCGTCGCCCTGCCTGCTGGTCCCGGTCCCTCCTCCCCTCCTACCTCTTACCCCCCCAACCCGCTTCTCCTCCCTTCCCCTCCTCCCTTCCCCTCACATCTGTAACCCACAGTCACTGTGGGCAGGGATGGAGCAGACACCATCCCTAGGGCAGCCACCAGGATCCAACCCAGGCCCCTAGATGTGATCACCACTCCCCAGGGAACCCAAGAGCACCTCCACTCCCAGTACCTGACAGCAGGGGCTCTGGGAATGGGCACCAGCCAGGCCAGAGAGCCCTCTCCCCTACCCACCACCCAGAGTGAGTGCTGGGGAAGAGACGGCTAATGTGGGCTGGGTTTTGTTATTTACTAAGCCCATGTCACTGCCCCATTTAATCCACGAAGACTGCTCCCAAGTCATTCCCCAGAGCCTAAAGCTCACAGGCTGCCCACCCCAAGGGGAGGGAGGGGGGTTGCTGCACAAACATCCCTCCTCTCTATCAAGTACAAAGGAGGAAGAGCTTCCATTTCCCACAGTCTCTTCCCTGAAAGCAGTGGACGGACACTGGAGCTGGGGCCTTCTACACAAGAAGACACAGGCAGCCTCTGGGACCATCAGTCCATGGCAGGGATGGTCCCAGCCCCTCCTCAGCCCCTTCCTCTCCTGCCCTCCCCTCATATCTGTAACTTGCAGTCCCTGTGGGCAGGGATGGAGCAGACACCATTCCTAGGGCTGAGCTCAAACCAGCCAAATACCTCCCATCCAGACAGCATTCTCCTGATGGCAGAACCCGCCACACACCCAGCAGCCCCCTGAACACCCAGACCCTTTGAGGGCTGGCTGCAATCTGATTCCTGGAGTGGTACTTCCCCAGACCTCCAGTCACTTACCCGAGGACAGCACACTTCCGCATTCCCACATCCCCTGATGAGGCCAGCTCCTTTCCCATGGGGTGCTGAAGCCCCCTGAAGGCATCTCAAGTCTTTAGCAAGGGTGCAGGCTGCTTGCCCCCCATCCCACACCTGCATGCCTCCCCTGCAGCCTGGAAGGGACTCTGCTCCCAAGCCTCCCGGGCAGTACGATCCCACCAGAAGCAGGCTTATTTTCCAAACAAGCTCTAGCTGGGGTGTAGCTGACTAAGGGCAGGGCCCCTGAGATAACAATGCCACCACCCCTTCCACCCTCCCTGCCCTTTGGGGTGGAGTGAGATGGGATGATGGCTTGAGATGCAAACAGATCCAGGCCATCCTTGGGGCCAAGTCCAGGACCTCGGTGGCACCCACACTGGACTGGCAGCCTGGACTTGGGTGTTGCAGAGGATACCTCTGCCCTGAGAGGCCTGGTAGGGAGGTTTGGCCTCTGAGCAGAGGCTGGACACTGGAAGCCTCTCTGAGGGTGGACGGGCCTGCTATGGGGTGCCAGCAGCACTGGGCTCTCTAGGTCCCATGGAGCCCCCAAGCCTGGGACTTGGTGAGGAATCCACTCCCGCCCTCCTCCAGTGTGTCTGTGGAGGGTCCTGTCCTCCTCCCCACCCAGCTGTGGCTGCTGCAGTCAGGCTCCCTCGGCAGCCTGGGGCTGCGGGCGATCAATGGAGCCGGATCGCATTTCCACCCGCCTGAGGCCGGTCTCAGGCAGAAAGTGGGATAATGGCCTGGATTGAATAAGCAAATGGAGTGGTGGGGGAGGGCAGGGAGTCTAGAAAACCCACTCACACAGCCCTCCAGGGAGCTGCCCCTCCTGTGGCCCCACACACCCAGACAGACACAGCAAGGTGCCCGACACTGTGGGGGGGCCCTAAACCTGGGCACCTGGGAGCCGCTGCTCTTGACAAATACAGAAAAATAAAGCAAAAAGTGCCTCTGAGTGACCCTCCCACTCCGGCAATAAAGGCTTTCGGGAGAGCGTCCCTGCCTGATGGTGTACCGTTGGACAGATCGTGGCCACGTTTTGCCCAACTCACAGACTTTCTGGAAGCCACACAAGGGAGGATCCAGGCCCTGTCCTGCACGGTGAGGAGGTGAAGAGGGGCCCTCTCCCATCCTAAGTGCCCTCAGCATGGGTGGCGGGAAATTGTCTTTGGGGAGGAGGGCCAGTGTGGCCCCCACTCTCTGGGATAGTCACTGTTGCAGGTGAGCTCACCACCCAGGCCTGGCCCAGATCTAGGTAAATTAGGAGGGCTAGAAACCAGCTCTGGCCTGAGGTCCTCCCATGGAGTGCTGGAGCTGGACCCCGGAGCATCCAGGCCTAAAGCTTGGCAGAGGCACACCTCCATACCAGTGCCTGCACATGGGGCTCAGCAAAGGTGCCCACCTGGGCAGGTGTGAGGAGCTGGAGCCCAACTGCAAACCACCCAGCGGCTGAGGGCAGCTTCTGTCATCCGGCCTTCCCTGCTAGGCAGGAAGGAACAGATCCCTGGCCAGACACTTTCAATACTTCAGAGGCTCCAGGGACAAGCTCTAGAACCAGTCACTGCCAGGGGTCTTCCAACCCCACTGGCTGGGCGCCTCTGTGACCACCCCACCTTCAGGGCTCATTCTCACTCAAGCCGGGAACTCCCTTCTTTCCTGCCCCTGGGACCTGCAGCAGGGAGCTCTAAGGAAGCACCCAGGGGCAGAGGACTGGAGCAGAGACAGGGGGGCACAGGCCAGCCAGGTTCTGGTGGGCAGGAGGGAGCTGGTGCCATCAGAAAGGAGACCCAGCTACAGGGACACCTCACCAGGGCAGAAGTCCCCTCCTATTCTGAAATAAACAAGCTCCTCCTTTTCTCTGCAGGGTCTTGGAGAGCTTCTGCAAAACTAAACGCTGGTACCACGCCCCAGAGGGCATTTATCAGGGGCTCCTCCTGATAGCAAACTGGCAAGAAAAACGAATGGCCCAACCCACCCAAGGCAGTCCCCAGGGCACCCCGGCAAGCAGCACTGGTGGCTGTGTTCCCACTGCACAGTCAGTTGGACCCGTCATCCTCCAACTGACAGCTTCAACCACATGCAGCCCCCACCCCAGCACTCCCTAGCTCAGACACCTAAAATGACTCACTGGTCTGGGCTAAGTCCACCAGCCCTTGCCTGAGGCTCCCCAGGGAGACACGGCCCCATCAGGGGCTGGACCAGTGACCTAGGGCATGACAGCTCCCAGCTGGTCGGTGTCCCAAGTAGGCCACTGGCTTCCTGCTTGATGGCTGGCCACCAGGTGTCACATGGGGCCGCCTGGCTGGGCAGGCTCTCCCCAGCTTTAACAGACTAGGTCCAGGCCTCCCAGCCTCAGTCTCTGCCATCTGGGGCGTCCTTGGGAGCCCAGGCCTGTAGGTTCAGAGCTGAGACCAAGCCCTGTGTGCCTCCACAGAAGGTGTGGTTAGTGACAAAGAGTCACAGTGACCCAGCTCTACCACTCACCAACCTCTTCAGCCAAGCCTCTCCTCTCAGAGCCTTAGGGGCCCCATCTTTGAGATAACTATTTAAAAACTACAACCTGGGCAGAGGAGGGAACTGATGGGATTCTGTATGTAAGTCACCTGACACAGATGGACAGCACAGATCCAGGGACCCAGGAAGCCACATTACCAGTGTGTGTGTGGTGTGTAAAGGGGAACATTGGCCTCTGCCCCAGAACCTTCCAGGGCCAGGTCTGAACCATGCCCTCCAACTATAAGCCCCACTAAGTATCCGCCTCCTCGCAGAGCTGTCCAGGGATGACCCACTCCACAGCAGGCTCCAGCTCCAGGGATGGTAGTCTGCCAGAAACACCCAGGCTGACCTCAAGGGCACCCCACCTGCCTGGGGCTGCCCCCTTCAGAACCTGCAGCAGAAGGCCAGCCCCTGTGTTGCCAGCCAAGGTCTCATCCCAAGCATGTGCTGGGAGCCCGACTGGGCCTTTCCAACCGACGGCACCATTCAGGATGGCCCTACAGATGGCTTCAGACTCCCCCACCTCTGCCCTGGGCGGCCCCATCTGCTGGTCCAGCTCAGATTGCTGGGCTCCCAGCTCTACCGTGGCCCCAGGCAGTGTAAGGCGATCTGGCTGCCCACCAGCACTGGGCCCTCACACAGCAGCTGAGCCAGATGGGCTGGGGAGGCGGCGAGGAGGCCTTGAGGAGGAGCAGGCTGGGGCCCCAACGCGAGGATGCAGGGGAAGCGAACGCAGCTGCGGCATCCTGCTTTTCCCATATTGGCACTGCACATGATTGCTCAGAGCGGAGAGACACAAGCAAAAATGTGCTAGTGCCAAAATCGGCCAAGCAGATGACACTGGTGCAGGCTCTCTGGGGACACACTGGACAAGGAGCCTTGCATCCCTGCACCCTTGGAAGCAGCCCGTTTCCGACATCCAGGCGCACTCGAGGCAGATGGGGCTGAGGCGCTCCCGAGGCCCTCGAGGATCTGTCTCTGCTCTGTTTATGGCCCTTCGGTAATTCACTGACCGAGACTGTTCACAGTGAATTCTACCAGTGCCATACACAGAACAGGAGTCACGTTCTGCGGCCTGCCGACCCTGCGGAGAGACCAGTGGCCCACAATCCCCCATCCCAGCGCCCAGTCTGCCCACCCTCTTGGGGGCCCCAGCAGGCCGGCAGCAGTGACTGCTACGGTCTCCACCCCCCGCCCCAGCCCTCCTCATCCCCCTCTCACAAGCTCCACATGCCCCATCAGCCCAAGATGACCTTCAAGGAGACAGGACAGTGGGGGAGAGGGGCTGACCTCCTGGCTTTGCACAAGGTGGAAGGAAAATACCCTATCAGGGGTCTCCTGTCTCTGCCTGAAGGCCTACCTCCCCTCACATCACCCAGGCTGCCCCACCAGGCTGGGGAGAGAGTGAGACAGGACTGTCCACCTTCTTGCCAGAGTGACTCTGGCTCAGAGTGGCAAGCAGCGGGCCAGAGCCTCCTCTCTACCCATCCTGCCACAGGGGCAGTGACCAGCGGGACATCCAAGCTGCCTCCCGTGGCCTCTGAGCCCAGGCACCTGCAGCCCAGGATCCTAGGCACTGTCTCCATTATCCCCCCA